CGAAATTATTACGGAACATCTGTTCACCGGTGAAGGCCTGCCAGAGATAGGCTGCCATGCGGTACTTTCGAATCGCCGTTTCCAACCCGTTTCCTTCGCGCGCGATTCTTTCCGGTACTGCGTCGTAGGTACCGTCTGAATCTTTCCCTAGGAGGATGACCAGTTGCAGTGGCGGGTTATTGACCAGAGGAAGGTAGTTGATGCAAATCCAGGAGGAGTGGATGGCGGGGTGGGTGCTGCCCGTGGACAACTTTGGGGAGACAAAGTCAAAGCGAAGGCGATTAGGACCGGGGACTAGATGAACGAGGACTTTAAAATGCGATGCCGTGACTGGCCAGCAGGTCGACGGGAAATTATCTTGGTGGTGGTAGACAGTGACATTTCCGTCCAGCGGATGTTGCCTTGGGTCGCCGATTTGACCATACACGAGCAGCACTTTCTGGTTGACCTGCACGACAGTCAGACACTCGATTCCATTCCACCAGAGAAAACCATGCGCCTCCAAAATTCCTATGCAGGCAAACAAACATACCCATGAATTATCAGCCACAGACACGAGTCTTGGCGCGTAAGGTGAGACGGGAGCTTGTGATCGGTACACGCCATTGACCGAGGACGAGCTGCTACCCTATATCCCAAAGCGATCACAAGTCAGTATTATCAGTTGTGGCGGGAATAAGTACCGGTACATACAATAACACTGTTTCTCTGAGAACCGGCCACCATAGGCCCTGATCGCTGTGTAGGCGGGGTTACACTAACTGAGCTGGTGGTTTCGGATTCATTGAGAGCAGGAAGACTGGGGGTTGAATGGGTTGGTTTAATCGATGACGGTGGAGTGATTGAGTTGTGGGAGGAAGTGTCGATTATGGATGATGATTTCCCAGAGACCTCCTCCACACTATGCGATGGAGTCTTATGAAAAGTAGCCTTTGATCGACGCCGTAGGTCTTTGAAAAACGGCATGGCGAAGTTGAGAGAGAAAAGACGAAGCTTCCCTGTTGTTTTTTTTTTTTTTTTTACGGCGGGTAAATTGTCAGGAACAGAGAGGGTAACCGTTTGCGGTTGACGACAAGTCGCCCCGCAAAGTCACCAAATAGGGGGGGAGAAAGAGGCAGAGAGGAAATGGGAGATGAATGGTTAATCTTGGGTTATAGAAGTGCACATGTGGTTTTTTTTTTGGGAAGAAGAAAGAAAGAAAAAAAAGATCAAAGATCAGAGAACATTTTGAATCTCCTTAGCTTCCAAAAATTACAGGGGCCGGTTATACTTAGTACTCTTCGACCAACTATTTTTAAAGAAAAAAGCTATAAAAGGACATTACGTACCCTCAATCTTCGCCTAACCTTCGTTATATTATTTATATTATTTATACTATTTATATTATTCTGTTATCAGTTCAGCTTAAACTCTTTTAAGTCGCAATGTTTCAGTGTGGATTGGATCACACTAATATCCTTAGCTTAGATCTTGTTTGAGAGCTCACATACCTGGTTATGACACCAGGACACACACCGGTATGCCTTATTATTTACTGTTTCAGGCTAAATTTCCTGTTATGCTACAACATACATATTTAGGAAATAAGTGGAGTTACGTAGGTCACCTAGGGGGGCCAAGATGATAATCTTGAAACGGGGGTCTCTATCAGGACCGCATACATGGCTAGATACAGCCTCACGGCCCAAATAAGAATTGATGGATCTATTATTTGTTTCTATCTCACTATGTGGAAACCTAGAATGCTTATTTTCCCCCATTTCTCCTAATCGTCCTATTTCTTCCATGATTTGATAACTTCATACACCCAAAGTACATATGTACATAAAATGCTTTCGGCGATCTATGTTTGTAGAGCATACCTCAGAGGAGAGACAACCTCATTCTTCGGTCCAAGTGGATCGGAATCTGTAGCTGCATACCTGGTTTCTATGGGGATTTCAGAATAGAAAAGGAAAACATCTTTCTTTTTTGAGAATCAAGACTAGACTGTACAGAGTAAAGTAAGTAGGTGATGGGAATTCAAGAGGTACATGCATGTGGATCGATCGACTTTGAGGGAAAACAATTGTCTTATAAAATAATGAAATAAAATAATAAAACAATAAAATAATTAAATAGGTAGGGATTACTGAGTTGAACTATGTAATAGTTGTTGAGTCTACTATAACTATAACTATACTAGTTATAGTACTCGTGCAGAATAGTTCTGATAGAATGGTTACATAGTACATTTATATTGTAGAAGAAAGTTGACAGATACAAGACAAAAAAGAATTAAAAAAATATTCAAGACATATATGCTATCCCCAGTATCTTCTGTTTGACAGTTTCCACAAGAAGTTTTCTTTCAATCCCAATCTGTTCAAGTGCTTCTCCAGAATCGATCGCCGAGTTCCCGCATTTCGCCAATCTCTCTTCCCTTTCGCCCTTGCTCCCCCTCAAAACCTCAACCTCGACTCTACATTCGAAAACGTCTTTTATAATTTTTTATTTCTTTGCATAGGGGTGTTTTGTTTGTTTCATTGGGTTCTTGATATAATGCCTCCATCACAGCCGGCCTCGGCAGAAAAAACGATCCGCAAAATCGATATCGCCCAGGTAAGAGATGGAAAAAAAAAAAGAAGAGGCTGCGGATCCCTTGAGATGCAGCCTTGGCTACTGATTCAAATACTTGCCACTGCACCCGAATGCTTCCAGATGATATTGTTCTTGATGTGGGACTGACCCTGGATTCTCTTTGCACAGGTTTCTCTCAGTCTGCAGGATCGATTGGGCCTTGCCAAACTCAAGTACCAACATGGTCGACTGCACGGTCTAAAACCGAACCAGCAAGATGGCAGACCTGCTCTTGAGAGTGACAAGCCTTCCGACTCTTCGTCCGAGTTTTCACGCAGTCGTTGCGAGACTCCCTTCACCTCCCCTCCCCTCCAAGCCTCCACCTACTCCAAGGAGCTCCCTCGATCCGCCCGCAATAAACATGCCGCCACCTTCAACTCTCGAGTCATGCAGCCCATGCTGTCTGCCAGTCGAAAACGCCTACGGTCTGACTCCGGTTCTGAACGTCCTGCCAAGGCACCCCGGGTGTCGTGGAAGAGTTCTTACCGGCTGCCGGAATCCTCCCCTGGCATGAACCGACACCGTCCGAGCCGACGCACACAAGCCCCCTTCATGTCGGAGGCTACAATCCCGGAGATGTCATCGCCTGTATATCCTGGACCGTCAGAAGAGATCGATCCCGATCTGCCGTTGCACAGTTTCCAGAACATGAGCTCAATCGTAGGCTCTTCCCCTCCACGAACCCCTCCCCCGAAACATATGCGATTGCCCCGAAACAATCAACCTCAGAATCATGAGGATGGTGCGGATTTGCTCTTGTACCTTGCCAACTCTCCGACCCCGGCTCGGGTTGCAAGGGGCAACGGAAATCAGGCCTTCCCGCCTTCCACTCCTCCCAGTCAGCACGCAGTACTGCCCGGCATGACACCCACCATGGGCGGCGGCGTGTTCGCCAACATGAGCACACCCAATCAGCAATTCAACTTCGCTGATTTCGTGAATGTGACCCCTAGTCCGGCGCAACCAACTTGGGGTGGCCGCACCCCGGGCAATCCTGCTCGCACCCCGCTTACTAGCAACAGAAAGCGATTGAACTTCGATGCCCTGGTTCCTCCAAGCAACACCAGCCCTCGACTTCATGGCAAGGAAACAGGGCTGGCGTTACAACTCGGCGGGGAACTGCATCTATGAAACCCAGTGTTTCTCTCTCCATTTTCTCTTCTCTGTTCATTTTTTGCCTTAAATCCCTCTTAAACCCCCATTGACGACTTTCTTATGATCATATTATGTACACATTGTGTTCATCCCCGATGTAATTTGCCCTCTCCGATGTGGAGGCTTGCCCTTTCGACCTGAGCCTCGATTGGGAGGGCCTCTACCCGGACTTGCATCCACAGGCGTTTTTTTATTGTTTATCTTTTAAATGCTTTACTATCATGTCTTGCATTACCTCTCATTCATCAAGACCATATGTCTTGCATTTTCTATGTAATTGTTTGCCCTTGGCAATTTCACTCTTCAGTCCTGCTTCTTTCCTTTTTTTTTTTTTTTTTCCTTGCCAGCTTGCCTTTGATGAGTCTGTTCAAATATTTTTGCATTGCCCCTGTCTTGATATATGGAGATGGAAGTTGAAATGAAATACGTTCATTGAGAACATACGTGTCTCTCATCACAGCCTAAAAAACCACCTATTTCACCTAGCCAGCTTATTTTTATTATGCTTATTGGCCGAGAACACCCCGGGGAGCCAGCCCACTACACACATCTTACTGTGGAAGCGGCATATAGGGCGTCTTAGCCCGGCATGAACTTCCCTCTGGTTAGAACTTGGCTTATTGAAAATAAGTTGTTTCCCTTGGACACGTAGTCAACCCCTCATTTTCACGTCCAATCCGGGTCGCGTTTCTTTCGCGTCTTTTCGCGTTACTTTCGCGTTGCAGTTTAAGAGGCTTTTCGGTAGCCAATCAGAGGTGACGAGATTGAAAGTCAAATGTGATGTCATATACGGCCTATATTCTACCACTGACATATAAATAATACAGAAAGGATATTAGAGCGAACAGAAATCACAGAGCGCCAGATATCCAATTGAAAGACGTTCCGAAGTGAAAACACATTCAGAATAGTTCACACCCATAAACTAGGGAGGAGTCCAACATCCGAGTTTGTACCTCGACAAAAGTCATTTGAATTCATACTAAACACGTAGTATATCTTGTATCCTGTAACCTCTAACCTCTATCTTGTACCCTTTGCTGTCCTTTCTCTCTATCTGGTCGTATAGTGTAGTTTCTCACTTACTGTCATGCTTACCTTGAAACTAATAGGAATAATGCTGAGCGCAAGTAAGAGTAACAAATGACCGAAGGAGAACAACCGGTAGTTCTTGTGAGGTCGGTCCTGTAATATTCACAAGTCAACCTTCTGGCCGCCAAATCAAATCAATCAATGGCTTCGTTAACCAAACTCACATCATATGTCCAGTCATCCGATCGACCCCAATGGGTGGAGTACCACATGACAAATGAGTTCCATGGGTAGATGAACCAATTCTTCTGAGACTTGTAGTCGATGAAATACTGCCAGCAACTGGATATCAGATATATGTAACCTTGGCACAAGAAGATAGGATATTAATTTCCTTACACTGCCACATGAGCTATTGAAGATCGTCGTGGCGATTTTCTCATGCAAGTTCTCGTTGTACTCTTTCTCACTGTCGGACTTGACCTCGACAAATGAAGCGCGGTCTCGAAGAACCGGTGCAATCACCTTCATAACAAGGTTGACGTAGCTGGCATCACTGTTAGCGGGTATTCTATGAAAAAGAAAAAAAAAAAAAAAAGATATCAGAACATCTTGACATACTTCTCAATGCAGTAAATCGCAGATGTGTGGCCTTTACCGGAGTTGGGACCCAGGACATAGAAGAAATTAGGAAATCCGGACATCGCGGTGGATTTGTATGCTTCCTTGTAGCCGAAGTTACCCCAGTGCTCGTCACGGGTCCGGCCATTTCGCCCTACCAGCTCTACCTCGTATTGCGTCAGGGCGAATCCGGTGGCAAGCAGCTGTATTGGGGAGAATAAGGATTAGCTGGGATAACAAGCAAAGGGGTTTGGGGTTACTTTGACTTACAATTGCATCTGCACGATATTCCTGGCCAGACTTGGTGAAAATCGAATGAGAGGAAACTTTGACAATGGGATCATCTGTAAGATGAATATTGCTTTGTTGAAGGCAGCTGGTATACCTGCTGTTGTCGAAGATCCGGCGCTACATTAGAAGAAGAGTCAGTATGTATCCCGAAATCGAATTCAGTTCTGGGATCTTACCTTGCATCCGACCTCATATTTTGGTGACAAAAGGGGCCAATATTGCTCTGTAATCCCACAATAGTAAGCAAATGGTTGCCAAAAGGTATTCATCCATCTTTAGCGAATTGAGCTCACCGGGTGCAGTGCTTTGAATGTAAGCTCTGCTTCCCTCTGCTGATATATTTCTGGCTTTGTTTCCCTTGTAAGTAATATTGAATCTGACGGCAGTGCTCTCCAAAACCAGAAACACAATCAGTCTCAATAAACGTAGAACACCAGGCACATAGCGAAAAATGAATTTCCACTTGTCGTGGATTTGCATATTTTCATTTTCCAAATAGAATTGGGGTGTCTGGTATTAATGAGAAATAATATCTTCCACATGTGAAAAGCGTGTCTTACCCGAATAAATTGGGTGATGCTTCCAACTTCTTTAGCAATAGCGGGAATAAGCTGAGCAGCCGAACCTGATCAATTGTTGGTGGAATGACCTTTAGGAGAGAGAGAGAGAGAGAGAAAGTGTAACTCACATCCATTGCCAACCACAATCACATCTTTCTGATGAAGAGACAAGTCCGCTTTCCAAGCAGCAGTATGAACAATATCCCCTTCAAAGGTTTCGACACCCGGTATACCAAATTGATTTGGATTTACCAAGGCTCCAACAGCAGAGATCAAGATTTTACACTCGTGATAGAATGTTTGACCTGTGGATAAGTCCTTCAACTTGACCAACCAGCTGTTTGTCGAGTCTTGCCAATAGGCCCCTTCCCATTCTGTGTTTCGAACAATGTGTCGAGAGACGTCAAACTTATCCGCAACCTTGTTGAAGTATTCCAAGATCTCCGCTTGTGGAGGGTAAATTTTTGAGAAATCAGGATTTGGGGCAAATGATAGACTGTAGAAGACCGCTGGGATATCCACAGCACATCCTGGATCTACAATGACATGTTAGACACTGAAATATTAGAAGAAAAAGAGAAAAGAGATCAACCAAGAACTAACATTTATTTGCCCACCAAGTCCCTCCTGGGGCAGGTGAACGGTCATAGATGACATAGTCGTCACAATTGTGCTCTCTTCGAAGTTGACAGGCTGTAGCCAGACCAGAAAAGCCAGCTCCAACGATGAGTACCTTGGAGAAAGGCTTGTTCTCAGAGAGCACCATATTGAAAATTCAAGGTAGATTATTCTTCAAGATGATTGAGAAGCGGAGCGTGTTTGGTGTTTCGCAGATGTTCCTCCCGATTTCCCAAGGCTGAACTTATAGCTGCCCGAAGATAGCATTATTCGTACGAATGTCGTCTTGTATGTTCGGGGTTTGATCTTAAAAGGCTCATAGATGGTACGTACATAAGTTAGCATGGCGTACATGTCTGGAGTTACACCACCTGGTGGATCCACCAGTCACTAATCAATCCAGTACACCCTTCGGAATATCTAGAACGATAAGTGTAGATATATCGGAGATGAAGAAGCTGTCACTGTTGATCTTCTCGTGTTTGATCGCAGTCAATTCAAACCCACTTTATATACTAACGCAGACAACCATATCTGGTATTGCAATAGCACCCATTTAGTCTATACGCATGTTCTTACTACACACCGTCCTCTAGTTTAATGCAACTCATATATGGGAAAAGGATACGGTGAGTGGTTGTGCCAATAGGGAGATATATTGAGTTGTGATAACTTCTCGTATAGTTCGACATCGATTGTCTTATTTGCTTGCATCAAATTCCACTCTATTCCGCAATTCCGGTCGCCCGATATACTGTCTTGTATTTCTTTTCAAGTTTCGTGCAGCGGAAACTATCAGCTTCTTTGTTTTTTTCATTTTTTTTCAACTTCCATCCAGTCGGCCAGAACCAAAATGTTTATCGCCTTTTTCCCTATCTTGGTGGATATCATCGGCCATATTGGCTGGATCAAGTCCATAAAGTTCTCTATGCCTTTCTTCCTGTTAGCTGTTGGCAGTACACTACTTGCCTGGGTGTCAATGGTAGCATTTATCCGGCGCAAGTTGGTCTTGTGGTCCGATGGAGATCCCAAAGATGAGAAAACGTTACTGGGTAGACCTCAACTCTATCCAGCACGTCTAACACATGCTCGCTTCTTCCCGGAGAAGTACCATTACTGGATCAATTACTTCCTCGTTGGGGTTCCCGTTGGACTTCGTGGTCGTGTTGGGAGTGTGGTTTCCATCGAAAGTGATCAGCATATCCCAGTCACAAATCCCGTCTGCACTTTTGTGAAAAGAATCTTTCGGATTCCACTTTGGTTTAGAATTGATACTAGTTGGTATCTTCATCGTGGAGATGGGCATCTGACCTTGGCCGCAAAACTAGTGCACTTTTTGAAAGAACGGGTATGTTAGTTCTACCTGGAAAAATAACTGTGCTTGATGTTAAAACTTCCAGGGCGAGGATCCAAACCAATATCCTTATGCATATCTCATCAGCATCCCCCAGTTTCTCTGGTGGACCAAAAGCCCGATCTCGTATTGGTATCTCTACTCGCCTCTCAAAGAGCTTAGTGGAATCATCATGGAAATCAACAACTCATACGGCGAAAAGAAGAACGCGTTCTGCCGATTAACCAAGGAAGACTCTTCCTCTTATGAGAAAGCCGTACCCTGCGAGGTTTTCAGCACGGCTTTAGGAAAGGGACCTCATGGCGATCAACTCATTCGATTCACATCATCGGCTCCTACTGCCAAATACTACAAAGGCACCTGGGAGAAAGACATATTTGCGTCGCCTTTCGAGAAAGTTGAAGGCGAATTTGCCCATCGATTCATGGACCCGTTGCATCCAGCACCTGAAAAAGGTGGCCCACTGCACTCTAACATGACTCTTATTAGCATCGACGGCAAGCCCAAGATTTCCAGCCGTCTTTTTTCTGTTGCTCCACCAATTGACCCTCTTTCGGCATCATCCCGGGAGCTGATGAGCTTCCTTCTCAGTTGGTCATTTGTTGTGCCAGTATCGATTGGTCGGATTGTGGTCGAGGCACTTCGTATTCGATTCAGAGGTAACCTGCCTTATTTGAACAAACCGGACGTGAAGAAGGGAAACATCCCTCGTAATGCCTCAGAAACAGAGAGGTATTCTCAACAATTTCCCTCTCTTTTGTTTAAACTTTTCTAATTGTCCTCACAGAGATTTGGAACCTTTCTTTCGGCTGTACCTCTCTCACCTTGTTGAGACATGCCGTTTCCCTTTGGAGGTGATTTATACACCGGCCAAATCACTACATCTCCACCCCATGTCAATGCATTCCCAAGTGAAAACTTACACTTCTGCACCTCCCCCCACCCTCCAAATACAGCCTCTCACGCCTCAGTTCTATACGAATATTCTGAAATACCCGGATGCCACAACTGGGGTTTTCTCCGAAATGGAGCACATACCCCAAGCCTGTGATCCGGAGTCCCAGCGCCTATGGGCATCAGATCCAGCGATGTTGCAGAGATTGATTGAATCGAAAATAGACCCGCCCAATGCCAAGGTAGTCCAAAACCCCTCGGCTTCAGTCCCCGCTGAGCTTCCGGTCTATCCCGCAAGCAATCCACTACGGCAAACGAAGTCGGAGATGAGGACGTTTATGGATGCTTTTACAGATTCCAACTGCCCCCAAGGCATGCGCAGGAGATATCGGGTCGCACGGACCTATTGCTACCTGACAGAGAAGTTTGCGTGGGGGTCTTACAAATTGGCTGCTGTTTACGAGTTTCTGCTGCGCACGGTAGTCTTGGAGCTATATTGGACGGGTCTGTGGTGGATGTTGTGCGACCTTCCAGTAGCACGGTACGAGAACGCTTTAATAGTGTCAGGAGTATATTTTGTGGGGGTTCGAGTATGGACGGCCCTGAGTGGTTATTTCTATAGTTAGATAAGCGGGGGCTAGTTGGGCTCGTTGGGGGTGCTGTTCGTGTTTTTGGTTGGCTATGGTAACCCAGGAAGTATGTGAGATCTTCGTCCTAGTTCGAATTTGGCATCTTTTGCATCGTTAAGAACCTGCATAGAAATGTGTTTAACTGCTTTTAGTTGGAACGATCTGGTTATCCCGTACGTGTTTGGTGGCTTAACTGTCGGCCTATGAACCCCTTCCACTTTGGAATTCTATATTATTGTATGCAGCTTATGGTCTAATTTGGAGATGATTCAATTACCTATTACCAATTGATTTAAATAGCACTGGGGATATGATCGCCAGATCATTAATTCCGAGGATCAACCGCTCAAGCCGCCTAATCTTACCTTCACCGATATTAATTCGTAGCTTCTACCCTCGAAAGATGTAATCTGTTCCGTAAATAGGTGGTTAAGCCTATCCTCTTATCCTACATTGTAGTCTTTAGTTAATTATATAGTTCTGTAGGGTTATTCTATGAACGTGGATAGAAATTGATACAAAGGTGAATGTGTACGGTAGGTAGCTTTATTTGGACATTAACCAAGGATCAATTTGAAATTCGGACCTTGCTGGATTGCCTAGCGTACATCATACATGCAGGATATTTGTGATCATCCACGAACTAGCAGGAAAATCAATATCAGGCACTTACACGGCGAGGGACATGTTGGGCCGCATACCATGTGATAGGTAGGTTTTTCTTGCCCTTCTCTTCGACTCTCTTTCCCAAGACCTTTTTTGTTGGATATAGGCATATATAACTCTTAAAGCCTCGATAAATATTCTGTATTGGAGAAGCTAGAAAATAGAAATAGAGCAGAAGTATATAGACGGTAGATTCAACCTTGAGCCTCGCGTGGTTTCCTCTTCCGCTCATTCTCGACAACATGCTCTCTTCATTCAACATCGTTCGTCTTTCGCGTTATTGAAACATTTTGCATTTTGTAAAAAAACGACAGGAAACTCTTTCTTAAGCTTCGCCAACCTCGCTGGCGCCGTCGGCTGGGACCCAACCTCCTCCCAATTCCACTTGCGCTTCAGCTTTTTCTTAACAGAGAACTCTGGGCGCTCTCCAAAACAATCGCCACCCTTCTCCTTTTCACGGCAATTGATATGATTCTGTTGGACAGACTACAGATGGTAGAGTCTGGGAAGTAGAGAGGGAGAGAGTTGATTGCTATGGAGAGAGAGAAACTCCTAGATAACTACTGGCGAGGGCTGATACCTGAGGCACCAATGTGGGGCCTAAGGCCACCACAACACCACCCCAGGCATAAGCTCGAAACCCCCAAATTAAGCGAACATCAACCTCCATAATTCTGAATTTGCATAGTAATTATGCATGTTTTCCTGACGATTCAGACACATTGTTCTGAACGTCTTTTGCTTTTTTTTTTTTTTTTTTTTCATAGGAACTGAGGTTCAATTAGTTCCTTCTGCGATTGCTGACATCATCAGGTTCCGCATCTTTTCGAACAGCTCTTTTCCAAGTGGTTTAGTCAGTGCGTCAGCAACGTTGTCAGCACTAGGAATGACTTTGAATTTGACTATGCCTTGACGAACGGCATGTCTCACAAAGTGATATCTCGCGTCGATCCACTTTGTTCCTTTGGCGTAGTTGTCAGATGTCATGATCGTAAACGCATTGTCGCTATCGGTTAATAAGGTGATCGGCAAGCTTTGCGGCATATCGACTTGCTGAAGTATCTTCAGCAGCCACATTATCTCTCTCACAGCTGCATCAAAAGCTATGTATTTTGCCGACGTGCTACTTCTTGCCACTAGCTCTTCCTTACGAGAAGACCAGCTGACTGGACAACCGGCGTAAAACAGGACAAAAGCCTCAGTGCTTTTTCCATCTTCGCAATCATGAAAGGATGCGTCAACGTAGCCGATTAGTTGCTCCTCTGGCCGCTTGCCAAGAAGGATGCCAAGGCTCATCGTGCCTTTGACATACCGTAGCAATTGTTTCAACGCTTCGACGTCTTCAACTCTCGGTGCTGCTGCTCGACGTTGCAGCTTGTTCACTGCCAGTGCAATATCAGGACGTGATTTGTCAGCAAGCCAACCAACCTTGCCGATATCCTCCATAAATGCCTTTGTATCATCCCACGCATTCCTCCCAGTCTCAGAAACACCGTCTTCAAGCTACGTACCAGGCTCCGTGTCAGCAGTTTGAACCCCTCAGCCCACTCGATAACCGAGGAACCGATCTGCTGCTCATTTTCGAATTAGTTGAAGACAAAATGTCACTCGCCAGCACAGATAGCGAATACCCGAGATGTGAAGGCCAGGGCGAGGAGTGGCAGGAAAGTTTTGATGTATGCCACCGGCACATAACTCCCATTGGTTCATATTACTAGTAGTCACCTTACAAAAACTAATATTATAACTAGATGCTTAAAGATGTCTGAATACCTAGATTATAAGGTTAATTAAATTGATGCCTTCTAAAATGGGCATAGGGACTTTTAAAGTAAATTAAATCTGAGCTAAATCTGAATTGAATCTGAATTGAATCTGAATTGAATCTGAATTGAATCTGAATTGAATCTGAATTGAATCTGAATTGAATCTGAATGAATCTGAATTGAGTCTGAATTGAATTTGAAGAAGATTAGCAGATCTCTTGGCCGCTAGTTTAGGGGTGGGTGAATCTTTATAGGATAGACTGTTGTAGGTGCCGGTGGCATACTTAGTCGCCCCTAGACTACCCAGCGGTATACATCGCCGTTTACCAAACGGCGCCTAGTTATTCCATGCCGAGTTGGTTGACATAAGTCAGGCCAAAATAAGGCATTCGAGACATTAAATTCAGGCATTTGTTCGTCGTAGAATTATTTACAGTACATTGTATAGGGCGGTGTAAGCGGCGGTCAATAACCAGGCCAAAGATACCTAGGCATCAAGGCATGAACATATACCGGAAATAGCAGCTGGCAGACCTTATGTGAAGGATATGGTAACATTCCATTTGCCTTGTAATTTCGGGATTTCACTGCTATGAAATATCTAGCTCTCGTGTCCACAGGCTTACCTCTACTCCGTAACAAAAGTTCTCTTTTCAAAAGTCCAAGCAGAAGTGGGAATTGTGGCTCAAATCGCAAACTGGGTGCTACATAGGTAGAATGCCAAGGATGGAACTAGACAGCAATTAATCCGAAGATATGGGGGCATGGGGTAGCGGGTAGCCTAGTGGTACCCGGGCAGATCCGTGGACCTATCTGCATCAAGCCCACACCACGTCTACAGATGCAGGTGTGAAATTTCTGCTTGAAATTCTCCATCGGAACGCGCGTTACATATAATTCCCTTATTCCGAGATGTCTCACCATATCTGCCGCCCTGGAATTTCCCAATAAGGGAAAATGACCTTGATCGAGACCTTGACCATGATCCACTCGGGCCGGTCAGGGTGCGTCATAGTCGATTTTGATCGGGCGATTGTGCTGGACAGGAGATGGCAAGAGGACTGACTATAAGACAAGTCGCTTTTCAGCCTGAATTTCCTCTCCAGCATCGGTCCTCAGCATTAGCATCATCCAACGTCTTTCTTTGCCATCATGAGCCTCCTGCGCCCACTCAATTCGTCCAGCAGCGGTGTTGCTTTCGTTGCTGGTGCCAACGGAATCACTGGTCATGCTATTGTTGAATATCTTATTCGGCAGCCCGAAACTGAATGGTGAGAGACCCCGAATTCCTTGACAGGCGATCCCTCAGATGGCTTTGTGTTTCTCTAACTGGAATTTGAAAAAAAAGGTCAAAGATCATCATCACCTCACGTAGGCCACTCAAAGCTCGCTTCACCGACCCCAGGGTTGAGTTCATTGCCCTGGACTTCTTGAACTCTCCAGAGAGCATTGTGAAACAGATCAAAGAACTCTGTGCAGATGTCACGCATGCATTTTTCACGTCGTATATCCACGACAACGACTTCTCTAAACTCTATGAGAAGAACGGCCCCTTGTTCCGAAACTACTTGGAAGCCGTGGATCAAGCTTGTCCGAAATTGCAGCGTGTTGTTCTACAGACAGGTGGAAAGGTACGCTGTGGTTGCCCCAGGTTTCAAAGGTTGCAATTTTTGATTTTTACTTAGCATTACGGAATTCAATTCCGAGAGATGACATCCCCACTGGTGGAAGAGATGCCTAGATACGACGGACCTGAATCCATCTTCTACTATGAGCAGGAGGATGACATGTTTGCTATCCAAAAGCGTCGCCAAACCTGGAGCTACAACATCATTCGTCCCATGGGGATTATCGGATATGCCTCTCAATGTAGGACACCCCAAATGTTTTCGTTACTACGTGGCTGATGCAATGAATTATTAATAGACATTGGAATCAACGAGGCTCTGCCTATTGCTCAGTACTTCCTCATTTGCCGTGAGCTCGGCGTGCCTCCCAAATGGCCAGGAACCTTGAGCACCTACCTTCGGGTCGAGAGCCAGTCTTACGCCCCTGGTATTGCCAACTTGACCGTGTGGGCTGCTACCCAGGACCGCTGCAAAGATGAGGCATTCAATCACTTCAATGGCGATGTGATTGTCTGGAAGTTCCTTTGGCACCTTCTGGCTGACTACTTCAACGCCCCGCTAGGCTCGAGTGAGCCCACGGAAACTACTGAGCCCATGGACATGCTTGAGTGGGCCAAGGACAAGCGTCCTGTTTGGGAGAGTATTGTTGCTAAGAATGGCGGTGACCCCGACGCTTTCCAACTAGACTCATTCGCCCTGATGAACTGGTACATCACACCTAGCGAGATGAAGACGCCGTTCATTAGCACTTTGCGCAAGGCGAGAAGTTTCGGCTGGACACATCACGATGACACTTACGAGTCATGGCTGAAGACCTTCAAGTCCTACCAGAATGCTGGTGTCTTGCCTGCTCCCTAGACTGGGAGTGGTATGCTCGATAGCTCTTGGTATAGCCTGAAGAGGGTTACTTTGTTCGAAACAAAACATGCAGTCAAAAACTCCTGCAAGGTTGAAGTATTAATCTCAACGGCAATTCGCACATATATCAGTCTAGCGGGGCGAGAATGGTCGAGAGCAATGTACATAGTATTTCACCATAGTATTTGACACAAACAAACCCAAACACACAGCTACTCCATTCCCTCCTCTAGACAAACCTCCCCAACCTCTCCAGCTTCCCCAGCCTCCCCCGTCCGCTCCATCTGCTTCCGCCACAGCAACGCCAGATAATCCGACGAGGTAGCCTCATCAATAGACTTATCCTCACGGACCTTAATAAACCGTGGAAATCGCAGACTCAACCCGCGCTCATCGCTAACTAGCCCAATGGCAGCCGGGTACGTAGGACTGAGCGTGATATCCGCGAAAGCCATTTCCCACACTTCGCACGGCTCAAACCACACCTCTGGTTCACCATGGTACTCGACGTAGCTGGGGCGCGATATGACATTCGTGCTGCCATGCGCGTACTTCTCTTTGTTGCTTTGGTAGAATTTGTCCGTGAACCCGGACATGCATTTAGTTACGGCCTCTAGGGTTCCTGTTTCCGGGTTGCGTACGGCTAGTAGGATCGGAGACCACCATTTCGCTTTACGGCCTTGGCCGTGCCACCCGGCTATCGGGATCAGGTCGAGGGTTTCGGAGGAGGTGCTGTAGTCCTTTTTTACTTTGAGCCAGGATTCAAGGCGTTTATCTGGTTCGTAGGTTGAGAGGAGGGGTTTGCGTCGGGTGGGTTTCTCTTTGGGTTTTACCTGTTGGCTTGGTTGCTCGGTGGTTGTGGTGGCCGTTTCGTTGGGGAGGTGGTTGTTGACTTGAGTGTTCGCACTGGGCTTGTTATCGAGGAGTTTAACCATGATTCCCTCGCACTTGACATCGATAGCAGATTTGAAAAACTCAAGGACAGCCTCGGAATCCGCTGATGTCGCATCCATGCTCTTCACCCAGCCAAAGTGTTTTGGAATCTCTACAAAGAGACTGCGAAGTAGTTCGCGGCGTTCTCGAAAGGGGCGATCTAGCAAAGGCTCGCCGTTGAGATACATGAGGTCGAATGCGAAAAGACAGACATTGACTTTGATGTCACCGACTTCAACGTTCTTCTTTGCACGATTGGTCAAGACCTGGAATGGCTTAAGATCACCAGTCTCACGGTCCACGGCAACTACTTCTCCTTCCAGGATAAAGCTGGACACACCTTCTCCCCGTATTTGCGGGACCAGGGAGACGAGATCTGGGTACTTCTCCGTCATGAGTTCCAGATGGCGCGAGAAAATAGAGACTTTCCCTTGCTCGTCGCAGTGTACCTGCGCACGTTGCCCGTCATACTTGTACTCGCAGCTGAAGTCTCGACCTTGGAGCTTCGTCAACATCTCTGACAAATCGCGTGTGATACTGCCCAGCATCGGCCTTAGTGGAATGTGCATGGTTAAGCCGCATCTGACCAAAAGCTCTTCTGTGGACCCGATCTCTATTAAGCAGGGCACCAAATCATTGTAATTAGGATGTCTAGCATATGATGCTTTCACGATTTCTTCCGCATTGTTGTAGATTTCCGCAAGCTCGTCTTTCTTCAAGCGTGCAAGCTGATGCGGATGAACTTCAAAGTCCGCTCCGACAGGCTTGGAATACAAGACAGCTCGAGCGAGAGCAATCAGCATCGTCGTCTTGACTGCACCAATTCGCAGATTTTGGACCAATGTCCGGACGATGTATCGACTCTCCTCGGCGCCACGCGCATCCTGCAGAAGCTTCTCGACGATTCTCTGCTTAGTTTCCTGACTACCGGGTCCTTTGCTAGTGGCGATTTTCTGAAGCGACTGGTATACTCCCTTGATTCTTAACGGCTTCGGCTTCACCAGAGTGAATGATTGTCGTTTTTTGGCTTCGAATGCAACATCTCCTGCATCACCATGCTTATCATATAGGGTCTTGAGCCCTTGGCCATTGAGGCCGTATATCTTCTTTAGTGCCTTGGAGATGGAAGAGCCTCCCAGGCCTAGCTCTAGTTCATCGTAAGGAGGTGATATGGAATTGGTTGCTAGCCACACAGCAGGTAGAACACTCGATGGATCCCCTTCAATGAGAACCCGAAGCAAGTTGACCAGCGCATCAACAA